ATTTCCCAAGGAACTTCCATTATGTAGAGCAGGACAAGGGCCCCCTCTGGGGAATTTTGTTCTTCAAGCCTATTGCTGTCGTGCTCTTCTCCCCATCCATCTTCACTCTATGGCTAGTATGGATTCTAATGACAGAATTCAGTAGTTATTGAGGTACAATCAATGGTGGCAGCTTCTGCCTCATGCCACTTGGGAATAACATTCTCATTATTCTTGGAATCAGGCATTCCACCACCCTCTGCTCCAGGTAAAAGAAATATACAGCTCTTTCTCATCAGTGAACTTTGCTGAGGCAAAAAGGCAATTGAGTTCTTGTCTTTCATACACGAGGGAAGCCATGTCAGTGAATAGATGAGGCATCAAGCAGCACAGGTGGTGAATATGACTGCCATAAATGAATACCTCAAGTTATATGGTTACGGAATTCAAAATAATGGACAGATCAAGATCACAAAATGAGAGAGTGAGACAGTAATCTTTAATTTACATCAAAGCACAGAATTTCTCAGGGTATAGTTGGTTCTAAATGATCTCTTAAGCAGAACATTCTGTAATGTCCTTTTGGCAGCAGGCCTTCTGGTAAACATTTGCTTCAGAATCACCACCATGTGCTGCCACTATTGATCTGGGTTTCCCATGGCATAGAACTCTCAATCCTCTCTGCCCTGTTCACAGCCTTCCAGCTATCCTTGCCTAAAATTAAAATTTTCCAAACCGAATGACATCAAGATAGGTGTATTAGTTTTCAGATGGGAAAAGGCAGAACAGTTCAGAGTGCAGGCTAGAAAGAAGAGTGACAGACACCATAGCATGTGAAAGTTATAGGAGGACTGCAGGTCTTCAGATGCCTGGGACAAGAGATTGTGGATAGAGAAATAGATGAGAACATCTAAGGTCCTGAGAATAAGCTGCGGTAAGACTCTTTGAGAAATTAAGACATACAAAAAAAGATATGTATATGCGGGTAATAAAAAACATACAAACACCTAGTTCCAGGCAGGGTACATGTCCAAAAGAGACCTGAGAAGTCCCAAGCTGATTGTGAGTCTTAGAAATTATACTGCTAATTAGATCTTCCTTCTCATAGACCAGTCTCCAAAGACTGGGAGAGGTGGCTGTTTTGCAAATGCTCGATTAAAAAAAAAAATCACAAGGCATACAAAGAAACAGAAAAACACAGTCTATTCAAAGGAGCAAAATAAATCTACAGAAGCTATAACTGAAGAAGGACAGGCATTGGAATTACTAGACAAGGCTTTAAACCCATGATCTTATATATGTTCAAAGAGCTAAAGAAAAACATGGAGAAAGACTAAAGGACATTCAGGAAAACAACATATGAACAAAATGAGAACAACCACCACAACAAAAGATTAAAATTATTAAAATAAAAACCAAACATAAATTCTGGAATTGAAAAATGCAGTAATTATTTGAAAAATACAGCTGAGGGGTTCAACAGCAGACTTGAGCACATAGAAGAATCAATGAACATTAAGACAGGTTATTCTTTATATTTTATTTTATTTTTAGATGGAGTCTTGCTCTGTCACCCAGTACAGTGGCATGATCTCGGCTCACTGTAACCTCCACATGCCAGGTTCAAGCAATTAAGACAGGTTATTTTAAAGTATTGAGTTTAAGGAACAAAAAGAAAAATAATTTTAAAAAGTGAGCAGAGTCCAACTTATGGGACACCATCTAGCAGGCTGTTCTGTGTGGGAAACGCATGAGGGGAGAATAAAAGACACACACAATACCTTTAAGGGTAAATAACCTTTATCCCACATAAATGGTAATGCAGGTATAATAAGAAAATGATATATAAGCAAATTGCATTGCAATGAGAAGGGGAGAAGGGGAAAAATATATGTATATTTACACTCACGAGACTATGGAGGATTCATCATCAGACCAGAAAGCAACAGCCTGGTCTCCAGAATCAGACACTACACTCACCAGACTATGGAGGATTCACCACCAGACTGGGAAGCAACAGCCTGGGCTCCAGAGTTGGCCACTTGTCTGTGCACAGGCAAGGAGAGGTCTCTTGAAGCTTCAGCGCAGTCGGGGACCCTATCTCTTTTTGTAACAAGTTTTTTGGCATGAGGCCCAGTCAGGAGGGCCCTTCAAAACTGTGCTCAACAGACACAAAAAGGTCAACTTGTTTTTGCAATTGTCTTCTGTTTTTCAATAATTGATATGTAGGAATAGATTGAAGTAGAGATTTATCTGAAGCAGTGCTGGATGAATGCCTTAAGGGGTTTATATAACCTGTCCTGGGACTTGGTGATCATTGTTTGTGTCCATACTCTATTGAGTTCAAATTTAGTATTTAACTTTTCCTCCTCACAGACTAACATAGGTATTATTAAAATTTAAGAAGTAGAAGAAATAGAGAAAGGAGTGAAGAGTTTATCTGAGAAAGTAACAGACAAAAAACTCCCCAAATTTGATGAAAGGCATAAATCTACAAATCCAAGAAGCCTAGTGAACTTTAAGAAGGACAAACCCAAACAGATGCACATGAAGATGCATTATGATAGAATTGTCAAAAACCAAAGACAAAGAAGAATCTTGAAAGCAGGAAGAGTGGCTGGGTGTGGTGGTTCATGCCTGTAATCTCAGCACCTCGGGAGGGTGAGGTGAGAGGATTACTTGAAGCCAGGAGTTTGAGACCAGCCTGGGCAACACAGTGAGACCCTGTCTCTACAAATAATAAAAAATTTAGCCAGGAGTGGTGGCATGCACCTGTTGAGAAGGTAATGTGGGATGAACACATGAGTTCAGGAGTTTGAGGCTGCAGTGAGCTATGATCATGCCACTACATTCTAGCCTGGGACACAGAGTGAGACACTATCTTATAAAAAGGTGAGGAGGGGCAGCAAGAATAAAGCAACTTGTCACATACAAGGGATCTTTAATTAGACCACACGCATATTTCTTAGCAGGCCAGAAGGCAGTGGGTTAATATTTTTAACACACTAAAAGGAAAAAAACAAAAACCTGTCAACTGAGAATTTTCTATTCAGCAAAACTATCCTTCAAAAAACTGAGGAAAATTAAGACATTCCCAGATTTAAAAAGCGGAGGGAATTCACTAGACTTCCCCTGCAATAAATGCTAGAGAGTCTTTCAGTTTGAAATAAAAGTATACTAGACTGTAACTCAAAAAATATAAAGATCTCTGGTAAAGGTAGATACATGGATGAATGCAAAAACCAGTATTACTATAATTTTGGTTTGTAATTCCACTTTTTATTTTCTAAAGGATTTAGAAGACAAATTCATACAGTAATCAAAAATATGTTAATGGGCACATAGTATATAAAGGTGTAATTTATAACATGAACTACACAAAGTGGAGAAGGGACAGGGCTATAATGGAATAGAGTTTTTGTATGTGATTGAAGTTGACATTAATTCAAAATAGATTGCTAGAACTTCAGGATGTCATATGTAATCACCATGGTCACCATAAAGGAAGTATCTATGAATATACATAAATGAAAATGAAAAGGGAATAAAAATATGTCCCTGCACAAAAATCAGCGGAAAACAAAGAAAAGCAATAACGGAGGAAATGAGGGAAAAAAATTTGTGCAATATGCAGAAAACATGCATTAAAATGCCAAAAGTAAGTCTTTTCCTGTCAGTAATTACATTAAATGTAAATGGATTAAACTCCTCCATGCATAGACATAGATTGGCAAAATGGATTTAAAACAAACAAACAAAACAGGATCTATCTGCTCTCTACAGAAGATTCACTTTCTGGTCAACATGATGAAACGCCGTCTCTACTAAAAATACAAAAAATTAGCTGGGCATGGTGGCACGTGCCTGTAATCCCAGCTACTCAGGAGGCTGAGGCAGGAGAATTGCCTGAACCCAGGAGGCGGAGGTTGCGGTGAGCCGAGATGGCGCCATTGCACTCCAGCCTGGGTAACAAGAGTGAAACTCCGTCTCAAAAAAAAAAAAAAAGAAGATTCACTTTAGATTTAAGGGCACACATAGGTTGAAAATGAAAAGGATAAAAGAGAGTAATATAGACAAATAAACTTAAAGTAGAAAACTGTCACAAGAGACAAAGAAGAATACTGAATAATAATAAAGGCTTCAATTCACCAAGAAAACATAACAATTACAAATATGTGTGAAATAAACATCAAATCCCCTATATATGAAACAAACATTGATAGAATTAAAGAGAGAAATGGACAGCTCTACAATAATAGTAAAATACATCAATACCTCACTTTCAATAATGGATAGAACAATCAGACATGATCAATAAGAAAATAGAAAATTCAAACAATGCTACAGGCCAACTGCTTCTAAAAGGCATCCATAGAACATTCCACCAAACAACAGCGGAATGTACATTTTACTCAAGTGCACATAGAACATTGTCCAATATAAGTTAATATATTAGGGCACAAAACAAGTCTTAAAAATTTGAAAAGACTGAAATCATACCAAGCATCTTTTCTGATCACAATGGAATTAAACTAGAAATCAATAGCAGAAGGAAAACTAGAAGATTTATAAATACGTGGAAATTAATTAACACAGCCTTAAGAAACCAAAGGGTCAAAGAAGAAATCACAACAGGAATTAGAAAATATCTTGAGACTAATGAAAGTGAAAATCAAAATACAGCATATCAAAACTTATAAGATGCAGTGAAAGCAGTGCTAAGAGGGAAATGTATGGCTGGAAATGTTTATATTAAAAATGAAAAACTCTCAAATCAACAACAACCTAAGTTTACACCTTAAGAAAATAGAAAAAGAAGAACAAACTAAATCCAAAGCTAGTAAAAAGAAGGAAACAATAAATATTAGAACAGCAATAATAAAATAGAGAATAGAAAAACAATTTAAAAAATAAAAAACCAAGAGTTCATTCTTTGAAAGTACGAACAAAATTATAAGCCTTTAGATAGACATAGAAAAGAGACAAGACTCAAATTACTAGTACCAGAAGTGAAAGTGGGAACATAAGAACTGATTTTACAAAAATAAGAGGATTTATAGCAGAGTACTATGACCAACTATTATCCCAACAAATTGGATAAGCTAAACATTGAAGGTGAGAGAACACTTCCCAAATCATTCTGGGAGACTAGCATTACCCTTAAAGTCAAAGCCAGACAAAGACAATACAAGAAAACTACTGACCAATAACCCTTATAAATATCAGCGTAAAAAATACTCAAAAATGAATACTAACAAACAAAATTCAACACAATATTGAAAGGATAATACCCCACGAGAAAATGGAATTTATTCCAGGAATACAAGGATGGTATAGCATATGAAAATCAATCAATTAAAATGTGAATTACCACAAGGTTCAGAAACTCCACTTCTGCGTATATACCCTGTGCAGGCTGAAGCAACTCCATCTTAGATGCTCATCTGCCACGTCAGCTTCTGATCACCCAGATCTGGGAAGGCCTCTGAGATTTCCAATTTGTCTGTTATTCCCTGTGTAAGACCACATATTCACTGTAAATCAAAGCAAATTCCTACCCATTCCCTCTGAAGCACATATGCCCCTCCTCTATGGTATATAATTCCCGGGTCTGGGGGCAACTGTGCAGGGATCCACCATCTTGTCTCACAACCTTCGGATACACAGACATAGCTTCTTCTCACGAATACCTATTAAATGTTTCATTCTAAGAAACTGGATTTGCTCACCTCTTCAGTCTCTCAGTTCCCTTGGACTTTGGGGTAGGTTTGCATAGGTCTGCCCATTGTGAAACACACCTCCCAATAACTGGATGAAGGGATTCAAATAGACATTTGTACACTCATGGAAGCACTATACACAATAATCATCAAGTGGAAGCAGCCCAAGTTCTGTAATGCCAGCACTTTGGGAGGCTGAGGCAGGCGGATCACTTGAGGTCAGGAGTTTGAGACCAGCCTAGCCAATATGGTGAGACCCCGTCTCTACTAAAAATACAAAAATTAGCTGGGCATGGTGGCATGTGCCTGTAGTCCCAGCTACTCAGAGGCTGAGGCAGGAAAATCGCTTGAACCCAGGGGGCAGAGATTGCAGTGAGCAGAAATCATGCCACTGCACTCCAGACTGGGTGACAGAGCTAGACTCCATCAAAACAAACAAACAAAAACAAAAACAAAAAAACATGGAAGCAACACAATTCTCCATCAATAGATGAATGAATATATACCACAAAATGTGGTATATCCACACAATGGAATATCATTCAGGAATTGTAGTCATTATTCTTTTTGATGCACAACTTGACTCTTTCACAGTGAGAGTCCCCTTTAAGTTAGCTGTGTTCACAGTGTTTTATAGCTTCCTTGCTTTCTGGCACAAAAGTTGCCGGCTTATCTGCAATATAGTATTTGTTGATCTAGACCTTGAATTTGCCATTTCTTTATAGGTACAAATGGCACTTAAAAGGCCGGGCGCGGTGGCTCACGCCTGTAATCCCAGCACTTTGGGAGGCCGAGGCGGGTGAATCATGAGGTCAAGAGATCAAGACCATCCTGGTCAACATGGTGAAACCCCGTCTCTACTAAAAATACAAAACATTAGCTGGGCATGGTGATGTGTGCCTGTAATCTGGCTACTCAGGAGGCTGAGGCAGGAGAATTGCCTGAACCCAGGAGGCGGAGGTTGCGGTGAGCCAAGATCGTGCCATTGCACTCCAGCCTGGGTAACGAGCGAAAACTCCGTCTCAAAAAAAAAGACACTTAGAAATATCAATCTGCTTGCTACTGGATATTGCTAAAGGATATGACTACTTTTAGATCCCTTTAGTGCACATGAATTCACAACTGAAATTTAACATCATAGGATTTATTATTACCTTACTACTTTTATTTTCATGTATATTTTCCTTTATACTGAAAACTGTGATGCGAGTGCTATGCATGTAATTTTCAAAAGTCATTTCCATGAAGAGCTATAGTTTATAAACATATTTAAGTGAAATAATTTTAGTGCAATTTACATAAATCTTTTAGTAATGATGTTAACTACTTTCAACACATTTTCACTTAGAGGAAGACGCCTTGTCTGAATTGAAGCCCACTAAAGTAAGGAGAAAGAGGGAGAACACATGAGGCCTCTCCAAAGTTAAAAAGCCTTTGAAGGGGAAGAAACTATAGTATGGGTCATTTTAAATTTTGGGTCAGTTTAACATTGCATCTTCTGAGTATTCAAAGTTGAGAAAGGAAGATGCTTCCTTCTTTTTTTCCTTTAATAAGAGGTAGAGGTTATTATTATCAGATTTGCAATTAAACATTTAAAACATGAAAAAAATCTATTGCTTTAAGAGGAATTTTAAACATTTTTTTTGAGATGGATCTTGCTATATCACCCAGCCTGTCCTTGAGCTGCAGGGCTCAAGGGATGCTCCAGCATCAGTCCTTCTGAGTAGCTGGGACTACAGACATGTGCCACTGTGCCCAGCTTGGGATTTTTTTTTAAGTTATTTTAAAAGTGTGAAGAGCTCCACCGCAATGAGAACAGAGCAACCAAAGAGGAACTAGCCTTTTGCTGCAGAGGATCCAGGGGCACCTAAATCCTAGCTATGTGTCCCCCGCTCCATGTGCTTGCATGTGCTAGAAGACAGAGTGAAAGAATTAGAAGAATGGAGGAGGAAGTAAAAAAAATGACCTTATAAAACAGAACTTCTGTTCTCAGCTGACATTCTTTACCTAATCTGTTTACTTATAAAACCATATTTTCCTTTAAGTCATTGGACATTTATTCCAGCTATTTTAATATCTTTCATGAAATCTGACATCTGGGCCATCTAGTGATCATGTTAGTCCCATGAGCCTAAAGCACTTATTATCTTGCGTCTTAAAGAAAAACATCACCAACCCTGTTCTAGAGTATGGCCTTTATTCCTGAGGTGTGTGATTTCTGTTGTTTTATATTGGTGCATGAGGTGTTGTAAAATTCATTAAATAACAGGGCCAGAACTTGGTCTTCCAGCAACTCTTAACCTCGAATACCTCTGTTCCACTCTCAACCCCACAGCAGCCACTATCAGATAATCCTTGATTTGTCTTTGCACATGCATAGAAATCCCATCCCTCTGCCAAAGATTTGCAGGAAACCCATTCAGATTTCTGCCTGGCAAAGATTTTCAGAAAACTCCCACATACATCTGCCTTTGTTCGCTGTGCGGTTCTTCTTTTCTGGTGTCCAGCCCTACAGAATTCAGCCATATCAATAGCCCCAAACTCTAATGTCTTCCTGCTCAGCTCCATGAGACTACCATGGTATGCTTGGGTTCCAGGTTCCTGCAATGCAGTCAGGAAATTATTCCTAGACAGAGTGCTGAGCAACTGTAGAAGTCTGTAGTTTCCTTTCTCTCAGGGATTGCAGTCTATGTTGCTTTTGCCTAGTGCCTTGAAACAATTGCCCTATATATTTTGTCTAGTTTCACAGAATTTTTTCTTGTTGGCTAGATGTGGTGTCTCATGCCTATAATCCTAACACTTTGGGAGGCCAAGGCAGGTGGATCACTTGAGGTCAGCAGTTCAAGATCAGCCTGGCCAACATAATGAAACCCTGTCTCTGTTAGAAACACACACACACACACAAAATAGCCAGGCATGGCGGCACACGCCTGTAGTCCTAGCTACTTGGAGGCTGATGTGGGAGGATTGCTTGAACCTGAGAGGTGGAGGTTGTGGTGAGCTGAGATGGCACCTCCGCACTCCAGCCTGGGCAACAAAGCAAGACTCCATCTCCAAAAAAGAAAAATAATAATTTATTCTTGTTGGAAGAAAAGAAGAAAATGGGAATTTTTATAAAGGAAAATATTATATTTTAAAATCTGGTGAGGTCTGATACTATCATAGCCTGTCTTTGAAATAAGCTTACTATGATCCTGGGGATATTATAATAGAAAATATTAATTCCTCTAAAGTTCAGTAATATAAAATAGGAATATATATTCTAATTCTGTTAGTTCAAGTCTTATATGCCTTCACATCATACTTTTCCATAAGAACACATTTGAGCTTTGGATAACTCTGCATGCCCTTGGTTAGTTACCTGAAGAATGTTTGGTTATTTACCTGAAAATTGAATAAACTAAAGACATTTGGCCTCGACTTTCTCAACTTAAAAACAATTCAATTTTATATGGACCCATTACTCTAGGGATTGAAGATACTGATAGGATTTAAACGATTAATTGCATTTTGCCAGTTTTCAGATAATTTTTTTAAGGGTCAATGTTACAAATACTTTGAGGAAAAGCTAGAATGAGAAGTGGTCCTTTCATTGCTATTTTAAGTATGCGTTTGGAAATGAGAAAGAATATGCTATATGATTACCTGCAGCCTATTCTCATATCTAAAACATAATTTTTAAACAATTAATTCTATCAGTCTATCTAGATATTTATTTATTTATTTATTTATTTATTTATTTATCTTAGGCAGGGTCTTGCTCTGTCACCCAGTGGTGCAAACTCAGCTCACTGCAACTTCCACCTTCTGGGCTCAAGCAATTCTCCTGCCTAAGCCTCCTGAGTAGCTGGGACTATAGACATATGCCACCACACCCAGCTAATTTGTAAAAATTCATATTTTAAATTATTTTTATCTTTGACAACATAAAAAATCTTATTTTATGACAAGATTTACCACTAAAAACCACTATGCAAAATAGCAGTTTCTGTGAAAAGTTTAATGCTTATTATTTTTTATGTTCTTTGACATTCCCAGAATACATGGCTGTTTACCTCTCAGTTATGAAGAGACTATAAAAATTCAACGTTTTGACATATTAATCCTCTCATCACAACATAGAGATGAGGAAAATGCAGCCAGAATGCTTCATGCCTCTCTTTGAGCCAGGCAGCAGCACATGGAGGATCTGTCTTTAGACAAGAGTTTTCCCCGCAATGGTGCGGACAGTAAGATATCAAGTATTGGGAACTCTCAAACTTAGATTTGTTAATAATAAACAATCACAGACATTTGAGGACAACCAATGTCATGAGAGATAGTAATCTCTATACATGAGGAGACTATAACAAAGCAGAAGGACATTCTAAAATAACTATATTTTGGATGACTAAGAGTCAATAACACCTGCAGAATGTAGACTGGATGATAAGAAAAGACTGCAGGAGAAAAATAGTTTTTAAAGGTAAAAAAATTCAACAGATGGGCTGAATAGCAGATAAGATACAGTCCAAGAGCAAATCAGTGAACTAGAATATCAAGTGAAGGACTTCTTCGAGAATATAACACACAAACACAGGCAAGTTATGAAAGAAAAGTTAAAAGATATGAAGGACAGATCATCAGGTTCCATCATTCCCAAGTTGCTTTGCTTATGTGACTACCATAAGTAAAGACCGCCTTCTTGCTTTTCTTCTTAGCCCAAAATAAGTTATGTTAGCTGAGGTACTGCACACCTCATTACAGGGGCCAAAGGCACAACCACACCTGAAGAGCTGAGTCCAATGGAGGAGGCGCCAGCCTGGCCAGAGAGCATGCCCTCTTTTTCTTTTCTTTTTTTTTTTTTCTTTGAGATGGAGTTTTGCTCTGTTCCCCAGGCTGGAGTGTAGTGGTGCAATCTTGGCTCACTGCAGCCTCTGCCTCCCACATTCAAGTGATTCTCCTGCCTCAGCCTCCCAAGTAGTTGGGATTACAGGTGTGCACCACCACACCTAGATAATTACTGTATTTTTAGTAGAGATGGGGTTTCACCATGTTGGCCAAGCTGGTCTTGAACTCCTGGCCTCAAGTGATCTGCCTGCCTTGGTGTCTCAAAATGCTGGGATTATAGGCCTGAGCCACTACACCTGGCCTTGCCCTCTTGTGCCACATTGTCTGAGGTATGGTCCTTCTCTTTGTACCCTGGCCTGCTACTTCCTTCTAAAGCCTAGGCCTTAAGCTAAGGTTTGCTCCTAGAAGAGCCCAAGTAAATGAGGCTTAGGAGGACCTCCCTGTATGGAGTATCCAAAGTTCTTTAACTAAAATTTAGCCTGTCCTGGGACCCCATATAGCCCTAGCACTTGGCCTGGACTTTCAAACAGAGGCATAAGTGCTTCTCACTCACTCTTTAGTCTCATACCAACTGGGAGTTCTTAGAAGTTTCATTAGCAACTTCTAGGTGCAGCTTCTGCAGCACTTTCACTGAAAGCCCAATTAAGGGCCCTCACTATCACCACCATTTAAACATACATATAAGTACAGGCATGGTGGGTCACACCTATAACCTCAGCATTTTGAGAGGCCCAGGTGGGAGAATCGCTTTAAGCCAAGATTGAAGACCAGCCTGGGCTACATGATGATACCCATTTCTATAACAACATAAAAAATACACACACACACACACACACACACACATTAGAGACAGAATGCTTGTTGTCAGGTACTGCAAGGAAAAATTAGCATTCAGACAAAAGGTTTTCTCAGCAAGGCAATTTTACTTTCTGCAGAAAGGGTGCTCTTGTTAGCCATCTTGCCATGAGAGTACAATGAAAAAAGGAAAGGCAGCATATTTATTCTTTACGCATTGGGTCCTTACTGCTATGTCTGATCTCTGTTGGCTGGAGCCAGACCTCACAATCCAAACTGAACCTGATTGGCTAACAACTTAAAACTTTTCTCAGTAGGTAAAGGCAATGGAGAACAAAGGAAAAGAGGAAGTCTAAATAAGGAAGGGGTGTAGGCTGTGAGCACGTCCAGCACAGACATCTTGGTTAAAGTAAAAGGATGTAGAATGTACTAGACATTTGGTTAAAGTAAAAGGACATAGAATGAGCATGTCTAACAGCTACATAGGATAGGGCTTAACAAAGAGTTATCAGCAAAAAGCAAGAAGACTTTGAAGAAAGTTAGTCTTTAAAACAAACTATTATTTCTAATATTTATTATTATTATTATTATTATTATTCTTTAGCAAGAAAGGAAACTTTGAAGAGGAACTTTTTACTTTCTACAACATATATAAAAACACACATATAAGAAATTAAATTTAAAAAATAAAAACAAGCCAATGTATATGAACCCATTGGTGGCAGCCCTGGATGGGAACAAGACTAGAGTTCCCTAACTCATGAACACCAACAGAGGCTGGGTTCAGAGACCAGTGACCCTGGACCTTTGGCAGTTTCCACACTTGTGCAAACAACTTGCTAAATTCTGATGGACAACATACTAACTCTTAGAGAATCACAATCTGTCAGCACTGCGAGTGGAAATCAGTTTGAACTGAAAAAGGAAAAAGTGACTCTGCTGTGAATCAGGTTCAGAGGACATGCAGAGAGACCTGTTGCAAAGGCCACGAGAATCATCATTTCTCTAGGGCAGGTGTCCCCAAACTCCTGGGCTGTAAACTGGTACCAGTCTGTGGCCTGTTGAGATCTGGGCTGCACAGTCAGAGGTGAGCAAGCATTACTACATGAGCTCCGCCTCCTGTCAGATCAGCAGCCACATTAGATTCTTACAGGAGCACGGACCCTATCATGCACTGCATACGTGAGGGATCTAGGTTGCATGCTCCTTATGAGATTCTAATTCCTGATGATCTGAGGTGGAACAGTTTCATCTGGAAACCATCCCCACTACCACCCCACACACTGTCTGTGGAAAAACTGTCTTCCATGAAACTGGTCCTTGATGCCAGAAAGGTTGAAGACTGCTGCTCTGAGGTCATGCTGCAGTTTGAAATGCCATAAGGATCATAAGGATCCCCTCTGTGAGTGACTACTGTTTTCTCACCAACGATGCCTCCAGACCTGCTGTGCAGATCTTGTCTATTACTAGGGATACTCAACTGGCAAGGCACCTTGTCATTACAACAGCAGCCACGTCCTGATTAATCCCTGCTTTTATGAACCCCACTTTAGACACAACCAATCCAGGACTGATCTATGCTTCCTTTAGATCTGCCTCAGACTCCAACGTGGGAGCCTAAACCTTGCCAAAGATGCATTTCTCCTCCCTCATTTTGAGCAGCATGTTGTGGTTCCTATGGAATGTCCCTCTCACTGCACCAAGCCAGAAAGCTCAATTTGAACAGACTACAAGCTTGTCTCCAGTGGTCTTGGAAGATTAGGCTTTAGTACCTCCGAGAAACTTCCCAATAGACTGGGTCATGAAGGGGTGAGCTGCTTTTCTGAGGCCTGTTTGCCACCTTCTAATTAGGAGGCACAGCCAAGATAAACCCTCCCAGGTGCCAGTTTCTCACAGGGCTCTGGGTGCCAGTTTTTCTTATGACAACTCTGTTTTAATAGGCTCTTGGCAGAGAGTTCATTGATATTGGTACAAAGTGCACTGATAGGTTATCCTAATATGAGGGAATATTTTTTGGGTGCTAGGCATTTCTGTGTGTGTGCATGCAACAAGTATTGTGATAAATGCCTGATTAAATTTAAAACATTTGAAACTCGGAATAACCCTTTGAAGCAGATGCCTTTTTTTTTTTTTCTGAAACAGAGTCTCACCCTGTCACCCAGGCTGGAGTGCAGTGGTGAGATCTTGGCTCACTGCAACCTCTATCTCTTGGGTTCAAGCGATTCTCCTTCCTCGGCCTCCTGAGTGTCTGGGATGACAGGCACCCACCACCACGCCTGGCAAATTTTTGTATTTTTAGTAGAGACCAGGTTTCACCATGTTGGCCAGGCTGGTCTCGAACTCCTGACCTCAAGTGATCCACCCACCTTGGCCTCCCAAAGTGCTGAGATTACAGGCATGAGCCAGCATGCCTGGCCCAAAGCTGGGACTATGATTATTTTGATTTCATAAATTGTGAAAGAGGGACACAGAACAAGAAGTAGCAAAAAGAAGAACGAAGATTTGAATGCAGAATGTCTGACAGCACATATATAGACCTGGTTCCAGTTTTAGCTCAGCTGTAACCTTGCTATAACATTGGATAGGCTGGTCATGCCTAAGGTTCAGGCTCTTCGTCTGCAAATTAGGGACGTTCCAGGACATCTGATTCCCAGGCCATTCCTGTGAACTCCATTTTGGAAATTGAACTACTTACTTGACTTTATATAAAGAACTGTGAAGGATCTGAAACTTTGCCCAACCTGCTAGCAAAGAAGCTAGCCTGCCATAGTTCCATGGACACTGACAGAAAGCACAAGGTGTCGAAGTCAGAAATAAAGAACATTATTACTCATAGCACAGCAGGTATTCTTGTTCACGTCAGTTCCCTTGGCTCCCCAAATAACAGACAGCAGCTCAGGTGGAAGCTGCTCATGCAGGAAGTCTGCATCACAGTGAGGAACTCTGAGCACCGGGAACTCACACCTATTAAAATTGACTGCAGGTTGGCGTGGTGGCTCATGCCTGTAATCCCAGCACTTTGGGAGGCCAAGGTGGGCCAATCATTTGAGGTCAAGAGTTTGAGACCAGTCTGGCCAAGATGGTGAAACCCTGTCTCCACTAAAAATAAACCAGCCAGAGGTGGTGGCATGTACCTGTAATCCCAGCTACTTGGGAGGCTGAGGCAGGAGAATCACTTGAACCCAGGAGATGGAGGTTGAAGTAAGCTGAGATCTTGCCACTGCACTCCAGCCTGGGAAACTCCATCTTAAAAAAAAAAAAAAATTTGACAGTAAGCCTGTCTGATCTTTCTCCAGAGGGTGACATGAACCTTATTGCACTAGACAGTAAACAAATCTGCCCTCTGCTTTGGAAAGAGACATTCCCTCTATCATCTAAGAATATACAGTGCCTCTGCTTACAAAATGTGAAGAAATGGAGAGACCAACGGAGAACTATCTCCAAACAATATCCATTTCTTATTTCTATACTCTTGGCTTCTGGTGAATTTTGTCATAAGTGAGTCAGTCTGTCAGCCACTCTGATTGCTCTGATCAGTAGAGGCTTGGACCAAATCTATTCATTTTATCTGACACGGCCTTTAAAGTCAGTATCCACAGGACCCAACACAGAATGAGGCCAACTTACAGAATTGACCTCAACCATTTCCCTCCAGATCCTGGAGTGACACAGGTAAACGAGTCTCATAAACCATCATTATCACTAAGGTTCTGTCCTGACCTCTCCACATGGCTTGAGGCATTAACACAGGTGCAGCAGGATGCATTAGTGAGGCACAGTCTCTGCCTTGGCCCACAAGGAAGAAATCAAGAGCAATTCTGACACCTGGCTGATGGATTGAGGTTGACCTGTCTCCCAGGTCCAAAGTGGTGATAATTAAAATCAGGGACAAGTTGGTACCACTTTTTCTAACTAGATGACTCCCATGGTAAACAGTCTGTAATGTGTGCATTAAAATGGGTCAGTTGGCCGGGCGCAGTGACTCACACTTATAATCCCAGCACTTCGGGAGACCGAGGTAGACAAATCACCTGGGGTCAGGAGTTCAACACCAGCCTGGCCAACATGATGAAATCCTGTCTCTACTAAAAATACAAAAATTAGCTGGGCATGGTGGCACATGCCCGTAATCCCAGCTACTCAGGAGGCTGAGGCAGGAGAATCACCTGAACCTGGGAGGCGGAGGTTACAATGAGCTGACATAGCACCACTGCACTCCAGCCTGGGCAGCAGAGTAAGACTCTGTCTCAAAAAAAAATAATAATATAATTAAAATAATAAATAAATAAATAAATAAATTTTAAAAATGGATCCGTTATCCCTCTGGAAGTTTCCCCCATGTCACCAAGAATAGCCTCATTTTGGAGAGATCTCTGCAGTTACCTCAGGGCTATTTAATTCCCTAGTGGTGTTTTCTTAAATACTTTTAAGGTCTTTTAGGCTCACCCCAAAAATACAAATCCATGTATTTTGGAAGGAAGGTAAATTAATGTATGGTTTCCACACCAGAGGTGCAGTGTCAGGGGACCACATGGTACCCCTGGAAAAAAAGTAACAATTGTTGGAATCCCCCAGGTAAGACCCATATCAGTTGAAGGGCACAGGTCAGTGCCTCCAACACGGCTTCCTGGCAAACCCAACACATGTGCATTATAGGAGGTCATGTTTCAGTCACACTCTTCCATTAGCAACCTTTTGACCTAGGCTTCCCAGCTCAGTTGGAGTAACTGGGTCTAGTCCTTGTTTTGCTTCAAGTCCAGCTTATCCAGTTTGTCCACATTACCAACCAGGCAGTGTTCACCTACCCAAGGGACGACTGAGCAACATCTACAGAAACAGGGGTGGGGAAGATGACCATAGGCGTTGACAGATGTTTTGTGTGGGAGGTGCAGGAGCTGGGCCATCCCCTGCAGGGACTTTTTGGTCATGTGAAGAGGCATGACAATCAAACCATGGTTAGAGCTATCTGGCAGGGGATGGTAGATACAACAGTCAGTTAAATATAAAGGGCTTGTCAGGGTTTAGGAGACCTGGACCGGGGCATTTTCCTTTGTGAGGATGGCTTCAGGTACAGTTCTGAAAGGCAAGAGATCATTAATGTCAATGTCTCCCCAACACTGCTTAGGGTCAGGGGTGTTTCCTCCCCGGGTACCTGAGTGTTGCTCTCCTTCTAGCACCACACCCTCAGTGAGTCTATCTAGTAGCTAGAACTTCACCTTTTTCAATCATTTCCCACCCACACCCAGGCCTTCTATCTTGAATGGTCTTATACAACAGGGACGAGGGCAACTTTTTAAAACTTACAGAGGTTTATCATAATGCTCCACACCTTGGCCTGCATAGGTCATTATAGAGACATTCGGCAAACAGTAGACTCAGAAAAGTGATCATTATCTTCACAAAGGCGGAAAGTGGCTGGGCCAGGTGAATCACACCTATAGTCTCAACACTTTAGGAGGCCAAGGTGGAAGGATCCCTTGGACCCAAGAGTTTGAGACCAGCCTAGGCAACACATAGTGAAACCCCACATCTACAAAAAAATTTTTTAACAATTAGCTGGGTGGGTGGCATGCACCTGTACTCCCAGTTACTCAGGAGGCCAAGGTGGGAGAATCACTTGAGCCTGGGAGGTTGAGGCTGCAGTGAGCTATGATGGATCCAATGTGGGCAATAGAGCAAGACCCTGTCTTTAAAAGAAAAAAAAAGTTCAGTAGATCTAGGAACCAAGAAAGCAAGAATCAATGGGTCATCAGAATAATAGAACACCAACAATCCCTTTTCATTCTTGGTTTGAATCCTCAAGGTTCAACTTCAGAAGAGACTTTTAATTTTGTCCTACTCTGATTCACTTGTCCACATTCACTTAGTTCCACTAAGACCACCTACAATTGGGGATAACAGTACCCCAGAGGGACAGGAAAAGTATATTGGTTTAGCAAACCCAACACATGTCCATTATAGGAGGTCATGTTTCAGTCACGCTCTTCCATTAGCAACCTTTTGACTTGCAAAGAAAGAATTAGTCACAGCTCTTGTTAAAGATGGTAAGGGAGACTATTCAAGGTGAGCTCTGACAATGGGGTTTTGTAGTAAGGGAGAGAAATGGGGCTCAACTCTGAATACAAGGATGAGTGGAAATTTACAGCCAAGGAGTATGGTGAGTGTCAGTGGTCAGAACATTACTGAAAGAAAACACCAGGGATAAGTTGGGATTCTGGCTAAACCACCGTGGCAGGACTATTGTGTGACACAGGCAAGGGTGACAAGATATTGAAGGTGGGGGATAAGGAACTTGATTAAATATCAAGAAAGATCAGATAGGCTGCATGTGGTGGCCCACACCTGTGTTCCCAGCACTTTGGGAGGCCAAGGGAGGTGGATCACTCTAGGTCAGGAGTTCGAGACCAGCCTGGACAACATGGAGAAACCCCATCTCTACTAAAAATGCAAAAATTAGCTGGGCATGGTGGCACATACTTGTAATCCCAGCTACTTAGGAGGCTGAGGCAGGAGAATCACTTGAACCTGGGAGGTGGAGGTTGCAGTGAGCTGAGATTGCACCCCTGCACTCCAGCCCAGGTGACAGAGTGAGACTCCGTTTCAAAAACAAAAACAAAAAGGATGATCGGATAGCAAGTGTGAAGGATTTTCACTAAACTGACCTAGCAGGAGTTTTGCTAACACTGGATTAAGTGGGCAGTCACTGGATGAAGAACAGAGCCCAAAGTTGGTGATTAGTCAGAGGAAGAACTCAGAGAAGCCTGACTCCAGCTTGGTTAAAGGAGAGAGTCTTTGTCATGACTCATCCTATTTTTTGCAGCCATGTATTTCATTAATTCTTTTATCAAACACATAGTAAGTAAGGAGTATTAAAACAGTAAAAACAGCAAATAAGCACTCCGGCAGAGACCAGGGCAGTGCAACAACTTGCCTTGTTAGGTTTAGAATATGTGATTCCAGGTCTGGGCTCAGTGGTTTATAGCTGTAATCCCAACACTCTGGGAGGCCAAGGCAGGAGGACAGCTTGAGATCAGGAAATCAAGATCAGCCTGATCAACATAGCAAGACCCCATCTCTACAAAAAAGATTCTTTTTAAATTAGCCAGGCGTGGTGGCTTCACCTGTAGTCTCAGCTACTCTGGTGGCTAGGGCAGGAGGACCACTTGAGTTTAGGAGTTGGAGGCTACAGTGAGCTGTGATTATGCTACTGCTCTAATGCCTGAGTGACAGCATGATCTTGTCTCAAAAAAAACACAAAAACCACCTGATTCCATGACTGAGTTATTACCACCACTTACTTAATTGACTTAATTGAAATTAAGAAGAATATTAAGATGAAATTAAGATGAAGAATAACTCAGAGTACTATCTTTTGAAGAGAAGAATATGTGGGCTATCTAGACCTGTACTGTCCCATGCTGTGGCTAGTGAACACTTGAAATGTGGCTAGTCTAAACTGAGATATGCTATAAACTTAAACTAAAAACACACAATGGCTTTCAAAGGCTTAGTATGGCGAAGTCAGGCAGCACTGCAAGTCCAAGATTGCAAACCCTGCAAGTAATCTACAACTGATGGGAGTGGGTCTGAACCTGAAGGTCCATGACATCAGAAGGACCTGGAGGGAGTGCAGTGAGTTCAGTCAGAACCTTTATTTGTGATTCTGTACATGGTCAAAGAGAATTCACTGTGGGCAACATTTACATGCCTCACATTTCAAAGGAAAGTTATCAGAACAGGTACAGACCACAGCCATAGACTAGTTAGGATTTAAATGAAAAATGGGCAAAATATCTGAATGGACATTTCTCAAATGAAACCTACAAATGGCTCACAAGTATGTGAAAAAATGTTCAACATCGCTAATCGTCAGAAAAATGCAAATCAAAACTACGAAGAGATATCATCCCACCCAAGTTTCAATGGTTTTTGCCAAAAAGACAAGAAATAACAGAGCTAGTGAGGATGCAGAGAAAGGGGATCCTCATACATGGTTGGTAGGAATGTAAACTAGTGCAGCCACTATGGAGAACAGTATGGAGATTCCTCAAAAAACTGCAAACAGGCCGGGCATGGTGGCTCACTTCTGCAATCCCAGCACTTTGGGAGGCAAAGGTGGGTGGATCACCTGAGGTCAGGAGTTCGAGACCAGCCTGGCCAATATGGTGAAACCCTGTCTCCACTAAAAATACAAATTAGCTGGCCGTGGTGGTGTGCACCTGTAAACCCAGCTACTCAGGAGACTG